AACTGTTACATTCTGTTTGATCGTTTAGTAATATATAAAATACAATAATAATATTCAAATTCTCTANACTTTTTTTTTTAGTATAGATAGTATCTATAGTAGAATGAAGATTCGGGCTATAGGGCCGTGGTCTAAGTGAATTGTTCCGTCCAAACGTTTCGTCAGCTACTGCGGCTGACATCTTCAGTGGTAGTGCTGCGTTGACAACGTGACGCTGTCGAGACTTCGAGATATAATCTACGTTCACGTTGTCAACGCAGCACTACCACTGAGGATGTCAGCGGCAGTAGCTGACGAAACGTCTGGACGGAACAGTTCACTTAGACCACGGCCCTATAGCCCGAATCTTCATTCTACTATGGATTCCGGCCGTGAATGCCTTTGTTCTTAGATAGTATCTATTTATTTACCTCATGATATGCTGCAAAACCTAATTAATCACGAATTTCTAATTTTATGTACTCTTGTCTCCGATTGTACCTCCCAAACATCCTTAAAGTCGCATTTCCCTGCGTAAACCTACCAGAGTCGGACTGGCTCTTGCCTGTACTTTCAACTACGTTTTTCTCGAAAACGGTGGACTTTAAGACCACCAAATATACTTGTATACGTTTGCAATAAGAATTATCCGAATAACTAATGAAAGAACAAGACTACGCCTTTTAGTCCATATATTTATTTTATTTTCCCTAGTAAACATGTCCAGCTCGGTTATTGTCTTAATAAACGTATTTGAATATCATCTTCTTAAAAATAAAGTTACTACTGTACCATGTTCGAACACAAAAATTCGTTAGCCTGTTATACAATAACATGAACTCTGTCCGTTCTTCAGAAATTGAAAAACAAAATGCACAGAAAACTAAACAACTGGCAGGGTTTTCAATTCCCCTTGCTACCCCCGAGATCGCCCACTCGCGTCGTGACGTAATGTATGTATGAAAATTGTAGATGTCTGCCCTGCACATGGCATCTCATTCTAGGAGAAACTAACCGCTCAAAGGATCGGGAGTGTTCCTGTCTTTGATTAATCGCTTTGAAAATTCAATTGCGGTGCTTTACCGAAAGCTGCAATTGCTATTTAATGGCATGAAAGTGCCAATTCCGGTATCTAGCCCATTAATCCTTGAAGGTAGCAATTTATAAAGTCGTGATTTAGAAATCAAAATATCGAACAATACTGATACAAATATCGGTATGAATGATACAAGCAATGAAGTTAATGTCAATCGTATTGGATACGTTGTTTCTCATTTGAAAAATTCTATATTTTTGTTTCTTCGTGTCTTTGATTAGTAGGACCAACGTATCATTTAATAAACAAATGTGATTAAAATTGCAAAATTCCTAGATATGATTTATTTGAAATATTTCTATTAAAAATACAAAAAAAATTTAAAACACCTATTTCTAGTCAATATGGCAAGAAAAGTTCCTTATTCTTAGAAAACTAACAACCGACGTTTCGCCCTTAGTTATAAGCATTTATCTAAGGTGACCATACGTCCCGGATTGGCCGGGACAGTCCCGGATTTCCACCTTGCGTACCGGATTTTTCTAGAAGCAATATTTGTCCCGGATTCAGGTTTTTTGTCCCGGATTGTTCCGAATTTTTGAAAAGGTTCTTATTTTCAATATTAATTTTAAATATATTTCAACTGGAATTTTATGAAAATTAGCAGTTCTTTTTCTGCCTGCCTGGCACAAATGCTTCTACGGAAAGAATATTTTCTTTAATGAATAGCCTTTGGACAAGTGACAAGACTC